TCACATTAGTTTTGTCTATATATTTTGAATATTATGCATTTATATTATATATATCTATATATATATATATATATATATATATATATATATATATATATATATATATATATATATATAGCGGGAAAAAAAGAATGAAGTGATGCCTTTTCCAATTAACATTGCAATTATTTATTAACAAAACTGTAATAAATAATTGAAGAGAAATATCAACCGGTTTCACCCGTTAAAGGGATCTTCAACATAAAGATTAAACTTTACATTTTGGATATATATATATATATATATATATATATATATATATATATATAATGTCATTTCTATTACAATTTATCTCATAATCTGCACACTTGTATCTTTATCTGATCCCATGTGGGGAAAGTATAACTGTATTGAATTTAATTATCTACCTTTATATGTACTAAATTTGTCTAAATTCACTGTATCCTACGGATCTCCTTGATCTTAAGGGATCCAGTTGACTTTCGGAAATAGATATATAGTTCTCTGGTCCCAATCAGTGAAGAAGACAATAAAAATGTCATCGTTGATTTGTGAGACATGATAACAGAGAACAAACTCTATATATGCGAATGTTGAGCTTGTTTCAATGTGTAGTGTAGTTGTTCTGAAACCATCATTTTTGTGATGGTGGGATGAGCAGTGGCTATGCTTTCATGACTGTTCTGCTAGGCGCTGTGCCATAATTGGACTGGCATATCGATGTAATAATTATATCGATGTGGTGGTATGTGTGTATATATTGTATATATTCTCTCATTTCTACATATATATATTATATATATATCTGCATATATTTATATATATATATAAATATATATATAAACAGTAAAAGTTAAAATAACAAACCTTTGCTTAATTTATGTAATTTAATTATACCTCTACCGGTTTCACAATATCATCAGGAGGATAATGAAAATGACATTGATTTATGTTATATATATATCAGCTTAACTTTAACTTGCCCCTCTAGTAATATACGTTCACAACACTGATTGTTTTAGCTTTTTTTTCTTCATAATAAAAAGGGCCACTAAGATGGTCCTAGATCACTCATCTAACCCATCATTTCATGATTCACAATATAAATTGAAATATTTTGCCCTAATATTTTGGAAAGACTTTGTTAAAAATATGTATGTTGCAACTGTTCCTATTAGACTATGTAGAATAAATGCAGAATAAATGACCACTAGAGCAGGATTCATTTTGACTAAGCAATTTTTTTTATAACTTTTTTGAATGAAAACACAAAATGTCAAATGCAAAGCATGTATCAAAATTGAATTCTACATCAAAAATTACACAAATTACACCCCTAGTCCAAATTTCAAGTCTGTACATAAAAGACAAACTAGAACTCCGCGAGTCGGATGTGTCGCCTTGTGAACAATGTAGTTTAGGGGAAATGCCCAGGACAAAAATGAAATATGAAAAATAACAAAGGGCAATAACTAAAAAAATAATAAGTGCAGAGCAGCAGTTTCTGTACACTGCACTTCTTATCAATAAGATCTATCATTCTATGATGTTTCAAGTCCATAGCTTTCATACTTGAGGAGAAATGACCAGGACAAAAATAAAGTAAGAAAATCAACAAAGGGCAATAACTCAAAAATAAGAAATGCAGAGTATCAATTCTTATGCACTGCACTTCTTTTTAATGAGATCTATCATCCTATGAAGTTTCAAGTCCATAACTTTTATACTTTCGGAGAAATGGCCCGGACAAAATTAAAGTATGAAAATAAACAAAGGGCAATAACTCAAAAAAATAAGAAATGCAGAGTACCAGTTCTTGTGCACTGCACTTCTTCTTAATGAGACCTATCATCCTATGAAGTTTCAAGTCCATGGCTTTTATACATTAGGAGAAATGGCCCGGACAAAAAAAAAGTATGAAAATTAACAAAGGGCAATAACTCAAAAATTAGGAAGTGCAGAGTACTGGTTCTTGTGCACTGCACTTCTTAATAATGAGATCTATCATCCTATGAAGTTTCAAGTCCATAGCTTTTTTAGTTGAAGAGAAATGGCCCGGACAAAATTAAAGTATGAAAATTAACAAAGGGCAATAACTCAAAAAATAAGAACTGCAGAGTACCGGTCCTTGTGCACTGCACTTCGGGTTATTGAAAGAAGCATGCATACCAAGTTTGAAGTCATTCAGACTTATAGTGACTGAGTTATGCTCCGGACAAGCTTTAGGGGACGCCGACAACGACGCCGACAACCACGCCGACACAGACGCCGCCGCCGACACCGCCGACACCGCCGACAAAAGTAACCCCTATATGTCACCTTTTCAAGGCGACACAAAAAGTAGGTAAAGCGATATCAAATATATCAAAAGTAGGCCAGTTCATATCAAAATTCAATTCAGGATCAGAAATTAAACCCCTTGTCCAAATTTCCAGCAGGTACATCAAAAAACGACAAACTAGGTCAAACAATATCAAATAATAACATCAAAAGTAGTCAGTTGATATCTTAATTCATTTCGCGTCAGAAATTACATTCCTGGTCCAAATTTCAAGTCTTTGTACATCATTCTAAATTTCAAGTCTCTGTACATCAAAATCAAGAAAGTATTGCAATGGTTTCAAAAATATCAAAAACAGTTCCACTGATACCAAAATTCAATTATGCACATGAAACTCCTGTTCAACAGTCTGTCCCAAAATTTATTGAAATGTGCTTTTTCCAAGTTTAAATCCAATTCAAGAAAAAAAAATGAGAAAAAAATACAATTTTTAACAAAATTCAATGACAAAATTGAGCATACAAACTCATCTTTGTTAGTCAGGCACAGGAGAAACAAATTTAATGTTTCTTTAGGCCTATTTTTTTCCTGGTTAATGACCTACAACTGACCTGACAATGATGGAATATGATGTCCGATTTCTAGTGCTGAAATATATTTACATATCATAAACAGGTCATGACATTAAGACTTTCTCCAAGCAATTGAACCTCTTTTGGAAAAATTGAATAACATATGTACACAAGTTTTTTTAATGACACTTATAATCATTATATTTATACTGTGACCTCCTATAGTGTGAAGATTTTACAACATAACATATCTTCTTTGTGTGAAGTCAAAACACGTTTATTTTATATTTATAAAAAGACTGCGTATCCATTGTCAATATTTTTTAATATTAAATTTGAACATAGAATATCTTTAAACTATAATTTGAAGGAATTCCATGACCTGTGGAATTAAAGCTTTAGCTTAAACAGGGTCAATCAAATTAATATGACTAATGAGCAAACTTGATTTAAGACTACCTAAGAATGCTACAGACAAAGATTGGTGATCATCCATCAAATATTTCATTAGGAGATGATGTTCAAAGGTTTTTCTATATTTAGCTTTAGCGGCCTCTTAAAAGGGCCAATCAAATTAATATGAACAAACTTGATAAAAGACTACCTTAGAATGCTACAGACAAAATTTAGTGATCATCCATCCATTACTTCTGTAGAAAAAGACGTTAAAAGGTATTTCTATTTTAACTTTAGCTGCCCCTAAAAGGAGCCAATCAAATAAATATGAACAAACTTGATAAAAGACTACCTAAGAGTGCTACAGACAAAGTTTGGTGATTTCAGAAGAAAATGGTGTTCAAAGGTTTTTCTATTTTTAGCTTTGGAGGCCCCTAAAAGGGGCCAATCAAATTAATATGAGCAAAACATGATAAAAGACTACCTAAGAATGCTACAGACAAAGTTTGGTGATCATCCATCAATTAGTTCTGTAGAAGATGTCTAAAGGTTTTTCTATTTTTAGCTGTGCTGACCCCTTCAAGGGGCCAATCAAATTAATATGAGCAAACTTGATAAAAGACTACCTAATAATGCTACAGACAAAGTTTGGTGATCATCCACCAATTGGTGCTGTAGAAGAAGACATTTAAAAGTTTTTCTATTTTTAGCCCTAGAGACCCCTAAAAGGGGCCAATCAAATTAATGTTTTGTTTGTTTGTTTTGGGTTTTACGTCACATCGACACAGTATAGGTCATATCGCGACGTTCCAGCTTTACTGGTGGAGGAAGACCTCAGGTGCCCTTCCGTGCATTATTTCAGGCACGAACGGGCACCTGAGTAGAACCACCGACGTTCCATAAGCTAGCTGGATAGCTTCCCCACATGAAAGAATCGAAAGTCCTTGTCGGGATTCGAACCCACAGCGGTGAGGGGCAAGTGGTTTGAAGTCAACGACCTCAAATTAATGTGAACTTCATAAAAGACTACCAAACAATGCTACAGACAAAGTTTGGTGATCATCCATCAATTAGTTCTGTAGAAGAAGATGTTTAAAGGTTTTTCTATTTTTAGCCCTAGAGACCCCTAAAAGGGGCCAATCAAATTCATATGAGCAAACTTGATAAAAGACTACCCAAGAATGCTACAGACAAAGTTTGGTGACCATCCATCAATTAGTTCTGTAGAAGATGTTTAAAGGTTTTTTCTATTTTTAGCCCTAGAGACCCCTAAAAGGGGCCAATCAAATTAATATGAGCAAACTTGATAAAAGACTACCAAAGAATGCTACAGACAAAGTTTGGTGATCATCCATCCATTAGTTCTGTAGAAGAAGATGTTTAAAGGTTTTTCTATTTTTAGCTCTGCTGACCCCTAAAAGGGGCCAATTGGAATGACATGAGCAAATTCAAGTGTGACTGTCACAAGGATGCTACATACCAAATTTGAAGTAAATCTGCCCAGTAGTTTCAGAGAAGAAGACAATTGTTGACGCATGACGACGGAGCATCCCCCTTTGATACTTGTAGCTCACCCTGAGCCTTCGACTCTGGTGAGCTAAAAAGTGATGATCCAGGTACAAGTTTGTGGACGGCAACGGCATCGTCAATCGACTATAACAATACCTCTGCTTTTTTTTTAAAAAAAGTCGAGCTAAAAAGTATTTAGTTCACTCAAAATATTGCAGCAAGTACTTATGTTATAAATCAATTTATTCTTGCTTACCTTCTGCTATCACATGAACAAACGCCTGTGTTGTATCAAGAGCATTTGTGATTTTGAATGAATAATTTCCGAAATCTTCTTCTCTTGTATCATTCAACATGAGATAGATTACATTTCCTTGCAGTGTGATATCTTTTCCATAAAATTGTGTCTCTACAGAATCATCCATAACAGTATACATATCACTAGAAATAGACTGACCATCATATCTTGTAATTTCTATAGTGTCAAGTACAGGATTGCTGTAAATTGGGATTTCAATATTTATTGCGTCTCCCGTTGAACCAGTAAATCGAAGATCATCTTTTAGTATTTTTGGAGATACTGTAATTTAAAATATTATCCAATATTATTATATACATGTAATTAACTCAAAGTATTTCAATTAACAACCATATCAAATAGTTAATTATTACAAATAAAAGAAACTTATAACAAGAAGATATTACATTACATTTTGCAGTTATAAATCTAGAAATTCCATTATAATGCTTTCCGCAATGCACATGTTTAAAAACAAGAAATGTCGAACGACACATATGCCACCTATTCAAGCTCTTGTTTGTTTGTTTCATTTTACACCTTTTCCCCAACAGTATTACAGTTATTTAGGCAGGTAGTTTCCTAACCATCGTTCCTGGAGAGTTACACCAGAACTAGATAACCTTCCTCCCCCCTAAACTACCAAAACATCTCCCGGGGATCAAACCCACACCAGAGAGGAAACTGGATAAGAAGTCATCGACTCTAACCCCTCGACCACGGAGGCGATTTCAGAAGCCCTTGACTCACATAATTGGTAATTTTGTTATAAAAACTTGCCATTAATGGGTACATGGAAGTGTTCAATTATGGAAAAATGAAAAATAATAAAGACTTAGTGATAGTTTTCAAGATAATGAGACATTTAAGGCCCCTGTGACCTAGACTTTTGAACTAGTGATCTAAAATCAATAGGGGTCATCTAGTAGTTACAGTTAGATAAATGAAGACTGTGATAAATAGCTTTCAAGATAATGAGCGGAAACCATGCTAACATTCAAGAACCCTGTGACCTTGACCTTTGACCCAGTGACCCCAAAATCATTAGGGTCACTTACTAGTTATTACCAATGACCAATCAGTATGTGAAATATGAAGACTTTGTGATAAAAGGTCATCAAGATAATATGAGGAAACCATTCTGACACTTAAGGCCCCTGTGACCTTGACCTTTGATCTAGTGACCTAAAAAGGAATACAGATCATCTGCTTGTTATGACCAATCACTATTTGAAATATGAAGACTTTGTGATAATTATCTCTCAAGATAATGAGCTGAAATCATACTACCATTCAAAGACCCTGAGACCTTGACCTTTGACCGGGTGACCCCAAAATCAATAAGGGTCATCTACTAGTTATGACCAATGGAAGAATCCATTATTGAATGGGGAAATCAATTTCACTATAGCTCTCAAATTTGTGCTATTCTGATTGACTCTGTTTTTGAATTAACATTCTCACATTCAACAACTTTCACATCTTTCTAATAGAAAAATCTTCATAACAATGTCTATTGAGACAAAAAATACAAGATACACTATCTCATTTTATGCCTACAAAGGAAGTCTACATAACCTTGCAATGAAAAAACCCTTTAACCCCCAAAACAGAGACCAATTTTCAACTCTAGACCATTATTTGAATATACTTTGTAGAAACAAACAAGCAAATGCCTTGTTAGAAATATCTAAGCTCTAGCCCCTTCCATTTTAAAGTATAAGAACTTTTCAGTTTTTCTTTTAGTTGGCATAGCAACCATAGTTTAGCATAGAATGGCATTCTTTGAACAATCTTGATAGAGCTTCATACAAAGAGTATTCCTGCCAAGTTTCATTAACATTGTCCAAGTGGTATAATAGAAGATGTCGTTTGAATAAAATGTGGACTGACGCCGAACAACGGTCCCGCAAATGTTTGGCCATCCTAAAAGCTCACCTTCACTATGTGCAAGGTGAGCTACGAACAGGACTGATTCAAGCCTGTTTTGAACCAGAATTGGTAAAATCAGGGTGAAATAGACATTAGGACACTGACTTTTCAATAAATCTCCCATGGGAATTCAAGCTTTTTCTACCCTGACATTGTCTTCATAATTGGTAAATCAGGGTTGAGGCAGGAATATTTGCACTTTGAAAATATTTTGACACAGATTTTACTGACTGAGAAATATAAGCAAAATCTACCCAGATATTTCAAAGTTAAAAAAAATTCTGACTTTTCTTAGTTAAAGATATTAGAAATAAATATTGCAATACACAAATAATACAGTTTAACATTGCTGTTCAGACAAAATTGAATTTTCAATTCAGAAGAAAATATATTATGATGTCTATTTCTAGAAAGTTTAAGTTGATTTTTGGTAAACTCCATTTAACAACAAGAATGTGTTTGTTAAACACAAATGCCCCCGGCTCAGATTCTTGTCAGTAGCAATACTTCATAAATGTTTACCCATTCACTCAGTTATGGACAGAAAAATCACCAAAAAATTGTAAACACAAGTTTTATAGCTTGACAAAGTCATGGCATTTTGTAATTGTGAAAAATATAAGTTGTCAAGTCATTGCTCTGACTTGTGAAGTTGAAAAATATTCAACTTCATGCAAGTTATCTTCCTACCAAATACAAAATACATCTGTCATTAAATAAAGGCTGTATGGACAAAAGTGTAAAAATTTATTTTGAGCACTGGTGACCTTGACAAAACTGACCCCTAACTGTATCCAAAAGAAGAATACCATGTAAGTTATCTTCCTACCAAATATGAAATACATCTGTCAATAAATAAAAGCTGTATGGGCAAAAGTGTAAGAATCTATTTTTAGCACAAGTGACCATGACCCACTGATCCCTACCCTAATCAAAAGGATGAATACTATGCAAGTTATCTTCCTACCAAATATAAAATATATCTGTCACTTAATAAATGCTGTATGAGCAAATGTGTAATAATCTATTTTTAGCACTGGTGACCTTGACCCAACTGACCACTAACTCCATCAAAGTTTATGTTTCTATCAATTATAAATAACATATGTCTATAGAATAAGGTCAATACACCTGTAAAAATGTAAAAATCTATTTTTAACATTGGTGACCTTGAAATTGGTAACATTGACCTTGACCCAAATGACCCCATACTACACCCAAAGAAAGAGGTGTTTGTATTAAACTAAGACATTAACTAAAAGATAAAGGCTGTATGAGCAAAAAGGTTTATATTTATTTTTTAAACCAGTGACCTTGACCTTGACCCTAGAGACCGCTTACTCTAAAAAAAATTAGAGGACCATCAAAGGTATCCACCTACTAAATATGAAAGATATCAGTAAAGAAATTAAGCAATTATGAGAAATTTAAGATAAATCCAACTTGCCGAAATAGGTTAACCAGACAAGGCTCTATTTTCAAAGTGAAAAAAGGGAAATAACTGGGAAATATGGATGACACAGTTATATAACTTGGCAATATCATGTGCTTTGTATTGATAAGTAAGTGTGGAAATTATAAAGCCATTAGTATAGATAGAACTTAAGATATTTCCAACTTGCCGTTTTAGGTTAACCATTATTCATTTTCTAAGTGCTGAAAAGGGCAATAACTTGGTAAATATGAAAGCCGGAGTTATGAAACTTGCCCAGATCGTGTACTTTGTATTGATTAGTAAGTGTGTAAACTTAGAAGCCATTGGTACAGGTAGAACTTAAGAAAACTTCAACTTGCCGTTCTAGGTTAACCTCGTACAGACAGCCGGACAGACGGACGGACGGACGGTTCAATCACTATATGCCCGGGGGCATAAAAATTCTTTTCATTTAGATTTACTTTATCAATTTTTTTTTTGAAATTATGTTGATTATTTAGCTCAACATGATTATTGTTATCTATAAAATTGATAATTGTTACTAGTAATTGTTTGTTTTTATATTACTTATGACAAACAATTTTAAATTTAATGCATAAATTGGTCAGCAATAAGTAATGTACAAGATTTTAAGTTTTGATCCATCATCTCACAATCTGCACAGAATCTCATATTTCTAAGGTCAGCTTTCAGTTTATATAAACAAATAACCTTCAAGTGGAACATTATATAGTATTTCAAAATACTTTATGTTAAACTGGGCTATCTAGCAGATGAAAATAGAGAAGTTACAACAGATTGGCATAAGTTTAAAATCCAGAACAAATATCACACCTTGAAAATTGTTTCCAGCATGGTCATTTTCTTTAGAAAGATTGGAGGCTTATGTTGTGGTTTTCATTCAAATAATTCAACTTACAATTATATATTAATACATAAATGAGTTTTGATAACTATATAGATAAAGAGATTTCAGAATTCAACTACCTAAGCTACATTTATATAGATTTTTTTTCGGAAATTAATTGTGAAACTTAAACATATAAAATTAAATAATGGCGCATTAGATGTATCAAACTTTGTTATTTAGACATGCTGAAAAAAAAATGGAGGGAAATTAGCAGCCAATAATGTAACATATAAATGGTAAGTTATAATTTAATTACAGTTTTTAATATTTTCAATTTTTCATATAATTATGAATTTTATAAACTCAGTGTACTGAAAAGACTTTTAATAAATTTCCAGGAAACCTGTTTTAAAATATGAAGGGAAAATAGAAACCTTATTCTTAATTCTTAATAATAAACTATACATTTTGATCATTCCATTTTAGAAATAAAACTGAATATGTAATGAAATGCATGACATGATTGCATATTTGATTTTTTCTTCTACAGTCGACTCCTGTTATAACGAACTCAATGGGACATTAAAATATTGTCGTTATATCCGAAGTTCGTTAAAAGCGAAGTAGCAACAACTTTCTGACTTGTTTGGATGGGGAAAATTTGCCGTGAAAAAGCCATACTCTTCACTGGTTACCTGTGTAACCGGTATTTTACTGCAGTTATTTAATGCAGGGCATTTTATTGAGCAATACAGTATGTACATGGTACATAAATTAATTCATGTATTGTCTATAAAGTTCTTACCATTTGTTTTCTTTTGCTATTTGTTTATTATCGTTTGGTTAATATTGCAAACACAAACAGCCGATTACTTGGCAATTATCGGGCATTTACATCAATCAACTGAGGGTGTGAAATACAAATCTTCCGTAACAAGTAGGAAATTATGTTGTGAGAACATTTTTCAAAATCTTTATTCCCTGAAGCCATAACTAACCTGTGCAATCATTCGATTGTTTAATTATCGGATAGTGTTAATCGCGATATTTCAATACTTACAGTTT